CCTAAATATGAGTTAAAAAAAAAAGAAATAATTTTGAAGAAAAGGCTCTGAAATAAAATTATATGGATACACATGAGTCCTGTTTGCTCTCCAGAATCAGCCAAGGGAACTCCCAGATTTCACCCCATCAAGTTGGCTTCCAACACTGATGAAATGGATTCTTCTCATTGGTTTTCCATTAAGTCCTGCATAACGAAAAGAAAAGAAAAATAAAATAAAATTAAAAAGAAAAAGAGAAGTAAAAGAAAAAGAGAAAGAAAAAGAGAAAGAAAAAGAAAAAGAAAAAGAAATAGAAAAAGAAAAAGAAAAAGAAAAAGAAAAAGAAAAAGAAAAAGAAAAAGAAAAAGAAAAAGAAAAAGAAAAAGAAAAAGAAGTGAACATCCCAAAATCTTTATGGGAAAAGTTTTTATTTCTAAAAGGCTGGGAAACCACTTTTCTTGCCATGTATTTATACACCAATCAAAAAGAAGCAGAATGGGGTATACTTAAGAATGTATGGAGCCAATATTGTTAGCAACCAGGGCATAAAAGGGAGTGAAACTATCTTGATATTCTTTTGTTCTAATATTTGGTACATTCCTTTGGTCTGCCTTTATCATTCATCATACCTAAATGCAAAACTAAATTGTACATATTCATGGTTTATAGCAGCAATTATGACATTTGTAAGAGAACTTACTAGGAAAAAAAAAAAAAGAAAATCAGGAGTCATATAAAATGGAATTTGGATTTGAATAAAGCAATCATTTGTGTACTTTTCACTCTGCTAAGTTTCAGCTAGGATTCAATTCTCCATGTGTTGGGACACAAAGGATGAAGGCTTTATTACACTGACAGGTAAGAGGAAAAGTGTGTTTTTTCCAGTTATCACGAAACAGTAGAGTCACACGTAAAACACACCACCAAATGAAAATTCAGATGGATTGTGGATCTCTAGCAGAGAGATACATAGTATATAGTATACATACTATATACTATATATACTATAGATAGAGTGTATATATATATATATATATATGGTATATATACTTCATATATATACCTTAAAAATTAAACAAAAAGATAAATTCTTACAACTAGATAAAGTGTGGCCAGGTAATAAAAATAAACACTTCTGAGCCTGAATGTCTGCAAAGTGGGTATTTGGGATGGCAAGCAGTGACTCCACTTGAAGTCACTAACTTTCAAGTCACTGACTTTGCACTAAGACTTTTAAATTCTTTTTCAGTTCAAGGCTTCCATTTTAGATCAGAATGATACAAAACAAACACTGCTCCCTGTCACAGACATCTTTTATTAAAAATCCTTTTCTTAGTATTTGTCCTTCTGAGAAGCTGAGAGGCCTCAGGAACAACATGCAAACAATGGTTATCTGCTTCTGTGGAATGCAACAGGTGGATCTTTGATGGGCCCATGTTGGTTGTTTCTAATTAAGGGCCAATCACAGTCAGCTGGCTTGGACTTTCTATCCGAGACACAAGCCGTTGTTATGATTCCTTCTTTTTCTATTCTTAGCTAGCCTTCTGATGAAATCCTTTATTCTACTCTTTTAGTATAGTTTTAATATAATATGTATCATAAAATAATAAATCAAGCCTTCTGAAACATGGAGTCAGATCCTCATCTCTTACCTCTTCCTCGGACCCCTGTGAACACAGTCACAACTCCCTAATACCAAGAAATTAAGATGCCCAGTAGGCATCTTAAGATGCCCAGTAGGCATCTTATGACCCAAGGCTGGGCCTGCTGAATCCAAAACTAAAGAGGATTCTCAGAGATTGGCTTGTAGATCCTCCTACAATTCCTAGAAGGAAAACAAGGAAGAAAGAGAATTTTTCCAGCTGCTATATTTATACTCAAAAAGGTGCCACGTTCTCAGGAAGACAAGGGACCTCAAGGAAATAGCAAGCCTTGGCAAATTCACGGATAAGTTCCAGAAATCCTCTGTGTAGCTCATAACATGAAAGAAACAAATTATTTTTTGGCTGTGATCAAAGAAAGGAGGAGAGTTAGTTTCATATCCAAATACTGGAATATTAGATGAGGGCCTCATTTCATAATTTAGTTTATTTTTAAATTATTTCCCTTCTTCCCTCTCTCCCCATCCCAACATACACTACCCTTCAGATCTTGAAATTACATGATAGGTGTTAATTTTTGATTTCAGTGGCTGACTCTAAAGCAAAACACTTGTATATTGGTAAATGCGGGAAATGGAAGACAGTTCTCAGGGCCTGACAGAAGGCCTACACAGTATGCACCTACAAATGAGTACCTTGAGACAAGAAAGGCTGAATTAGAAATGCCATTGAATAGGATATATATTGTTGGGAGAGAAACGGAGTTAGAAAAAAGTTTCAAAAGATACCCTTGCAAATAAGACTAGATAATTTAGAGAAATACAACTATGAAGTATGCACTGTATACAGAACCATGAGGACGAGTTCTAGATGATTGGTTTGCAGGCACCTATAGCATGGAATAAGAAAAAGCAAAATAGGACAAGAAAAGCTTATAATGTATTATACCTGAGAAAGAGTAAGATTCTAGTTGTGATAGCAGGAATTATAACGTCTGCATGGTCAAACCCTTCTCATAAGACTAAAAAAAATTCAATGTGTCAAATGCCTCACAATTACCTCATCTCTGGGTCAAGAAACAAGTCTTGTCTGACTGGTAACTTTTCAACAAGCTGAGAAAGAAATTAGTACCTGGACATGCAGGTTTCTGAAGGGAGGAAAGAAAAGTGTTGACAAGAATAAAGCTAAGTTTTAAATGCCTGAAACACTCAAAAATGACATGTTTTGGGATAGTGTACCATATGTTAGACAGAGGCAAAACAAACCACAACTCATTAGTATCTGGACTTCATTGCCCACTATGTTTAGAAATGTTGCTTGAAGGCACTTTGTGTCAAGGATCCAGTTCCTGTAGATGACTGTCGACGTAGATCAAAATCCTACCAACAAATCAGTGTCAAAACCAGCAAGAGGGAGACTTTTGTCCTTGGCAGTAGCTTCCAGGTGCTCCTGGAAGTCACCAGGCCTAGACACAAAGATGTGTATTCAACGGAGGCAGAGAAGCATCATGCTTAGCTCTAAATGTGACCTTTGCTAGCAGATCATACTAGCAGCTACTAAATTACATTTCTTCTGCTCTTAGCCAGAGCCAAGATGGGAATCAAAGTCTAGATCACAGGAGAAGATCACACGAGCCTCAGCTTTTCCAGAAGAGGAAAACTACAAAGGATAGTAAATTTGCGTTGCGTTTACAGGCTATTTTTGCAGATCGATAGACAAGGGATGAAGCTTAAAAGATGAGAGCAAAGGAAAATCAACAGATGTGCTGAAAGGGAGTGAAGAGGAAGGAGACCTCAAATTAACTGAAAAGCTGCACAGAAAGCTTCTCTACTTTGTGCACTTGCCTCAAGTTTTAAATGGCAAAATCTAGGAGTATTTCCAACTTAGTTTTATTAATTCTAGAAGAAAGACAATCAAAACGGTGTGCTTCTGCTTACAGTATGAAGTAAAGCACAGGAAGCCATTAGAGTAAGAAAAATTGTGTTCAGAAGGCTGAGGAAGCCTTAGGGGTAGGAGGCATGGGGAGGCGTGGAACTCAGGCCTGTGGGCAACCTTCAAGGAGCACCCAGGCCCTGAGCAGTCCCTAACAGTGCGTATGCCAGCAGATGGAGGCGAAGTGGAGCCCCAGCTCGGTGGGAAAAGGGCCGGGGTGGGGAGCCGTGCTCAGCAGGGGCTCCTGCATCAAATTGCTCAAAGACAGGCGTGCTATGGTGTGCGCATGTTTCCAACACCTGGCAACAGCAGGCTGGCCCAGATGTGGGAAAAGGCCAAGGAGGCAGCAGAGTGGGAATGGGGCTCTGCAGGAGGCCCGGGCGGTTGCACACCCCTGTGGGGGATGAGGCTGGCCCAGAGGGTCCCTGAGGGTCTGGGGTGAAAAGGGGGGAGAAGAGAAGCAGGGAGGAAATGCCAGATGCCGCTGTGAGAATGCCATTCCATCCCACAGGTGACATAGTGAGAGGAGGGTGGCAACAAAATGGTGATTGCTGCTGATCAGCCTGACATCTTCAAGACAAGAGGCCCAGAAAGGACTGCACATCTGCCTCCTAGTGTTGTCCTGAATGGGAGCTCATTACCCGGTGTTCATTACCTGTAGGTCCCTCAGCTTCCCGCAGGCATGCCACACTTGCGGTAAGCAAAGCTGCTTACCTCCCTATGTTCTTTGGGCCTCTGAAAGGGACTGTCCACTTAGCTGCAGCCTGGCAAGGAAGGGAGTCTTACAACACTCGGGATATTTTCGACTTTTATTGACACTCGGGCAGAAACAAAGTATCCCCTCGCTGCTTCTCCATCTTCAGCATTCTGTCCTGCAGGCGGCCTGCTCAGGCTGACAGCTTGGAGCGCCTGCAGGCTCCAGTTCTGCTGCAGCCCAGCTTTTCCTCTCACTGCCTAATTCTTATTATGACAATTCTTTCATTTCTACTTCAAAGCTTCCCTAAATTAACAACACTCTATCCTAAGCTAAACAATCCTCTACTATCCAAGCTCTCTACGTTCTATAGTCCTTAAAAGTCGATCCCTACATCTCCTAATTTTTTTAAACTTTCATCTTTTGCAGAAAGAAAAACAACAGAGCTTTAAATTGAACCTAACAACATATCTAACCCAACCTAACCTAACCTAACCTAACCTAACCTAACCTAACCTAACAGCTAACCTAACAGCTAACCTAACAGCTAACTTAAGAGCTAAACTGAGCAAATATTTACACTATCATGTTTCCTATCTACAGCACAGCTCCTCTTCAAACTCGGGGGATGGCTGAAGCTCGGCCTAAAGATGACGCATCCCCTTTTCCCTCCTCTCGGCTGGCGGGGCATCAGGGCCTCCTCAGGCGCAGGTGTCTCCTCTCCAGTCTTCCTGCACTCGCTTGGCTGAGATGATCAGAGCAGCCAGGCTGGAGGCAGGATCGCCTGAGGTCACAAAGGGATGCTGCCCAGAGGAAAAAGAACAAAGAAAGGAACTCTTACTTTCCAGGATCACATCCTCGCGGGCTCAAGCAGGATTCCCTGGCTACCAGCAAGACACACATCGAGCACCGAGGGCAGCATGTCACCCTGCGCCTTCCTGTCCTGGCAGCTTTCTGTGCCACGTGGCCCACACTCCTCCTCCTCATCCCTTCATGCAGGTGTCCTCAGCTGCCAGGCCTTTTTGCCCCTTTGCTTTTCCTTACCTGTAGGAGCTCCTGGGCAGACCAGCGCCTGTCCTCATCTGCCTGCAGGCAGCAGCGGAGGAAGTCGCGCAGGAGAGCCGAGTGGTGCCTGGGGTTCTGCAGTTTTGGGGGCCCGTTCCTTTCTAGCAGTTCAAAAACCTACAGCACATGGATGCAAGAGGACACTCCACCTGCTCCTTTGCTAGCCACACACAGCTCTCTCCACACAGAGCCCTCTTGCTAAGCTGCACCTTACCCGGAGACGGGCTTCCCGCTGGTAAGGAGCTTCCCCTTCCACCATTTCCAGCCCCATGATCCCCAGGGACCAGATGTCCACTTTGGGGCCGTAGGCTTCTCCTCTCACCACCTCCGGTGCCATCCAGCTGGGAGTGCCGACGCTGGAGCTGCGCTTGCTGTGCTCAGGGCTGAGCTGAGCACAGAGGCCAAAGTCACCTGAGGACAAAAACAAAGCCTGTCAAAGCCAGCTACCACTGGCAAAGCGGCCAAAACCATTGCCCACTCCAAGCCTGACCAGGCCATGCTGAATCTAGCTGAAAAAGCAGCTGAGCTCTCCTTCCACGTGCCTGGAGCCAGGCAAATAAGGCATCGGCCGCTTCAAAAACACCCTGACGATTCACGCACTGGCCAAGCCGCGCTTCTGCCCCAGTGGCCGTCACCAAAATGCAAGCGCACGGCATATGCTGGACATGCTGCAGCCCAGCAGGGACACCCACCCAACTTGACGGATCCGTCCGTGCTCACAAGGACGTTGCAACTTTTGATGTCTCTGTGGATGACTTGGCGGCAATGAAGGAAATGCAGTCCTTGCAGGCACTGAGAGAGAAGAAGGAGGGAGGGAAAGTTAACGTGCAGGATCTGATTTCATCCCACCCGCAAGGAAAGAGCTCAACGGGATTGGCAGCTTTCTCAGGGAATTGTGAGCCAGGGCGAAACATCACGCTGCTGTCATCATGAAGAGCTTGCTGCTTCAACACTCTTGGAAGTTTTTTCTAGATTTCCAAGCAAAGGCACCTGGGCTCCCAAAAGTTCCACCGGCCTTGGGTAGGAAGCGTGTCACCTTTGGCTGGGAGACGGCACGGTAAAGAATTTTGGGGAAGCCTAGTGGCAGCAGAAGAGGAAGCTGCTGGTGACAGCAGCACCTTCGAGCTGTTCCAGAATGCATCGCCATCCAGGCTGCAATGCTATCCTTTGAAGCTGAGGACAGCTCTTTGCCCTTAGCTTGAAATTCCGCCACCCGCATGCTGCCTTCCAGTGGCAAGCAATGTAGGACAGACAGACAGGCTCCAGGCAAACATTCCCAGGCAAAGCTGAGAAGAGGAAGAAAGAGAAATTGAGCCAGTGAGCGAGCACCAAGGCCAGACAACAGACAGGATGGAAGAGTGCAAGAACAGAGCCTGAGGAGTGCGAGGGCACCGGCAGGCAGTACACTTCCCATGCTCTTTCTTCTCCTGTGTGGCATGAGAGCAGCAACAGCAGCAGCAGCAGCAAAAGAAGGGTGAGAGCAAGAAATCTCGGCTCTCCTTAAGCTCCAGCTGGCAAGCAGCATCCGGGCAGGCTTGGGCAAGCACAAGCGGGATCCCTCACCTCCCGACAGACAGCGCCTATCTGTCCTTCCTCCAGGTACACTGCCCTCAGCACATCAAACAAGGTGCCGCCGTCCATGAACTCCATGGCCAGCCAGAGCTCCGCATCCACCAGGTAGCTGAAAGAAGAAAACTACGGCATGGAGAAACAGAATGGGCACAGCCTCAGTCACCCCAGGGCCTGAGCCAGGTTTTTGCAGCTGCTCTCCAAGCTACGTGGGCCACAAGAGACTATTGAACAGCAGCTCCACCTCCTCCCACGCTCTGGAGACCAGCAGAGAAATCATCCCCAGCTCTGTTCTCTGCCAGTGACCAAAGGGCATCGTCTCTTTGCGCTTGCACCAGCTAAAGCTACATTGACACCAGAATATGCCAACCTGTCTAAGTAGGTAACGATATTGGGACTCCTGTTGTCCCTCATGGCCAGGATTTCATTGGCAGCCAGCTCCTCGGACATCTCCTCCTCGAGTGACATGATCTTGATTGCCACCTGCAATGACATTGGCCACCGGTACCTTGAGAAGACGCACCCTGCTCGAGATCACAAGGAGCACGGAGCGAGTGCTGGTGCAATGAGGCAGCACGCTGGGCCAAAGCGCCTTGTCACTAGACAGCAGAGCTTAGCAGAAGCACCAAAGGCCAGCCCAAATGCATTCTGCCCCCTGAGCCTAGACTGCATTTCAGAGGAACAGCCTCTGCTGCAGACATGGAGCTGCCACCCAAAACTCCAAGCAGAGCTCACAGCAGCAGGCAAAGCGCTCCAGAGCTGCAAAATGGCATGGGGCTGTTGGCACTTTACCTGTTGTCCGCTGCTGGTGTCAAGGGCTTTATAAACAGCTCCAAACCCCCTAGAAAGACAAAAGCAGCAGAAAGACACCTTTATCCCTTTGGCAGTGAAAGCAAGCCCAGGCAGCAGATCTCCCCAGGCTGCCTGGACGCCTTCCTCAGAAAAAATGCCTGGCTGCAGCATCTCTTCGGCCAACGGCACCTCAGCCCGTCAGCCCTCTGCCATGCGGCGCAGGCTGTCCGAGGGAACACTAAGGTGCAGCATGAAGACCAAGGGCCGCTGGAAATCTCCAAGGCGCACGCCCTGCCAGGTCATTTCACAACCTAAGGGGAACTCTCTCCTTGTGCGGGTGTGCATGTATGTGTGTGTCAAAAAAGGGAGAACAATTTGAGTCAGAAGACTGTCCTTGACAATCTGACCTTTCTTGGATGGCAAGGTGCTCTTTCAGGCCCGAAAGCTGCAGGGGCAGGGGTTTTCCCAGCTCCTGCTCCTCACTGCTGCAAGCAAGACACTGCCAGCATCAACTTGTCTTTGATGAGGCCTTTGGATTGCTCTGACCAAGCAGTCTGGGCAGGCCACACGAGGTCAAGCCAGAGCCTGACCATGATTGGGGCTTGCCTGACTTCACGCTTGATATTGCACCAGCCAAAGACCTGGCCCACACTTTTGTAAAATGAGCTGACGTCACGCTTACCCTCGCCCGAGTTCCTCAAATGCCGTGTATTTGCCTGTTGGCCGGCCCGGACTCACGATGCTCCCTGAAAGACAAAAGCAGTTCAGGGCGCTCACTGGCACACAGAGACGCCGCTGCCCAGAGCGTCCCAAAGGCAGCCCCACTGCCCGCAGCTCTGGGCCCTTTGCGGTCCCTCGGCTTCCAGCTGCTGAGACCAGCAAGTGGGAGGGCCATCTTCTCCACCTTTCATCAGGTGGCCTTTCCAAGAAGGCCTTGATTTCTTTCAAGAGCAGCATCCCACGCGATAAGTCAAAATGATGAGCCCTTAAGAAGGGGGCCCTAAGAGGTAACCAAGGGCCTTTGCAGCCTCCTCACTCACACCCACCATCACTGGCAGGTCCACTGCCAGGGGCACAAAGTGTCTGGGCCGGAGGAGGAGTAAGAACCAGAGCCAGAAAACAGCTGGCGCCAGACAGCTGCCTGGGCAATAGTCACTTGCTAGGTGCCAGCCTTCTGCTCAAGCAGAAACAATCTCTGCTTTTGTCTTTGGCCCACAAGGCAGCCCAGGCAGGGCCAAGCCAGGCCCAGCCGCCCTCACAGGCAGCAGGGACTCCCTGAGCGCTGCCGCGCTGCCTCAGAGCACAACAACACCTTCTGCAGAGAGGCCTAAGTGCCTCTGAGACCGAGGGGCAGCATCTGGCGCAGCCTACACCCAGACACGCGCACAACACCCTGCTCTGGCAGACAAGAAATGCACCGGACGTACTCAGTGTCTTCAGGCCCTCCCTCATCTCGGGCTGCTGGGCTGCGCTGCTGCAGGAAGTGCCGGCAGCGGGGGTTGAGCTGGCTGCTGCAGGCCACGCTGCTCCGGCGGCACCAGGCTGAATGGCAGAGCCTGTCTTGCGCTGGGACAAGAAAGGATTGCCCGTCAGAAGGGTGGCTGGCACACATGCCCCCCCTAAGCGCACGGCAAAAGCAAGGCCTTGGGAAGGTGCTGCCAGCCACGGCCAGGCCTCTCCAGCTGGGGCAGTTCCCATGTCCCCTTCTCAAAGGCACCTTCGGGAGAAGCCCAAAGGCTACTGGCATCCAGCCCCTCCCGACCACCTCCATGCTCCACGTCTTCAGCTGTTCTGCAAGACACTGGCAACAAGGTATCGATGGGGCTGCCAAGATCCACAACCAAAACACCCAATCCATAGAGACCTATGCTACAAGGTCCCTTTAGCCAAAATGCAAAGCCCCTTCCTTGTACAAATCATCTAACCGTGACCCACCATCTTCTTTAGTTGGAGCTTTCAAATCTTTCAGCTTTTGTATGCTTTTGTGGGTGGATTCAGAGTGATCAGACACGTTCATACAACACAATCCTTCTAATTCCTCACAACCGTGTCCATGTGCCAGTAAAAGAAAATCAATTTCTGCTCTGTTCTGTATGGTTGCATGTCTGACACCGCTAACATCAGTCATCATGTCACTAATTGCAATGGACGTAGCTCTTTCTTCGTTCTTCAGCCAACAGCCCAATCGCTATAATGGTTTCAATGCCTCACCCGAGGTAAGTGGATGCAGAAATAAATTTGATATAACTCATTTTGCAGGGCCCTAGGGTCTCAAATTGGTATTACATTTTTCTTTGTAATGATGGGCAAATCTTTTTTCTCTGTTTTTTCTCTTGATGGCTTTTTTAATGATAAATTCTGTCACAGTGAGTTGTCTGATGCTACATGGGCCACCTTTAATCTTTGAGGAATTCCCTGCTACACTCTATCTCCACAAATGAGCCAATATTCTGTTACTAATTGTCGTGGGGACTCATCTGGGTCATCTACTTGTCAGCAGCTTCATCCTTAGGGCACACTGGGGTAGTACAATTGCACCACAAACTTGAGTATCTGTCCACAGGATGATGGGGAGTAACATTTAACTGTGGATCTCCCTGGTACTGAAACACAGTAGAAAATTCCATTAGAAATGAACCAAGAATTCCAATTCTTGAGGTTCAGAAGATTCTCTAAGAAGATCAGGGGCCCAATGATGCCAGCTGGTTATGGGATTGGTCTCGTTGGAAGCCTCACACCAATATTTGTCACGACTGGGTATTGGCCATTCCTTGGCTGGCACTGGCACACTAACCAAACAGGTCACAAAGGGTTTGTCTGGGCTCGAATTGGTCAAACATGTGGTGTCTTAGCCTGCTGACTACGCTAAAGCAAGGTAAACATTCATTTTTGGTTGATCTACAGGCATATATGCACTACAAAAGCAAGCAAGCAAAACCAACAAGCGCCAGTATATCATTTGATCAAGCTCCAAGTTCCTGTTCAGCTGCTTTTTGGCAAAAGCTTCCCCATCTATTTCAGTTCTCAAGCAAATCTTGTAGCACTTGTTAAGGGACTGGCCAATTATAGAGCACTAAACTGTACCTCTAACCTTCAATTTTTACAAATTTGGATATCTTAAAATTCTTTTGAACACAATGGACACCACGCTTTTGCTGAAAGAGCTCTATGATACAAACCCTTTTCACAGTCCAAAAATCAACAATCAAACTCAAGATTTGTAGCTTTCACAGGTTGAACAGGGAATGTCTGGCATGAACCGTAGTTTCTTTGTGCGGCTCATGTCTGCATGCTCATTTCCCTGCTGGTGGAAATGTCGGTGCGCTCTTGTGTATGAGACGGTTTCACGTCCTTCGCGGGGACCCACTTAGGTCTGGCACCTGTGCAAATAAATACAAGCATACCGTTTGCCCCAAGTGATTAGTGCAAATGGTCCTTCAATTTGTCCTAACTCAAGGTTTCTGATCAAAATTGAAGAAGTCTCTTTCAATTTTGCCTGTGTGCTGTTGGAAAAGTGCCTAAAAATTGGAGGATTAGGTCCTGCAAATGAGCTATTCAAAACATAAAGACATCTAAAGCTTTGCTCAACCTCATCTTGGGGTGTTGCTTGGGCCACTCCCCATTTTGTTGATCTAGAATGTGTTTTAGAGTGTGGTGTGTCCTTTCAACAACTGCCTGACCTGGGTAGGAATGGGGAATTCCAAAAGTGTGGCAAACAACCCAGTCCATCAAAAACGTGGCCAATTTTTGAGCTGTGTATGTGGGGCCATTTGTCGGTTTTTACCTCATGGGGGATCAGTCTGGCGAGCTCTGGACCACAGTGACACTGTCAAGGACAAAAGCAAAAGACGAGAGGTGCTCTTTCTTCTCGGGACCAAAGTCCCACTGCTTTAATGAAGAACAACTCCAGAAGAGAAAGAGAGCATCCAGGAGAGGAAAGAGGATGTCCTGGAGAGGAAACAGAGCATCCACCTCATGGCAGGAGATTTTAAATCCTGGTGGAGGGGGAGCAGTAGAAAGGAACTACCATAGTGCAACATGTTAAATCACCACACTGTAGTTTTCTGCATAAATTGGTGCACTTGATGCAAACAAAATCCTAAAATCTCCCCAAACACAACCGTACAGTCCAAAATGACAACAATGAGGGAGAAAAACTACTCAACCCCCCTGTGTACCCAAGCACCAGGTGTCACAGGGAGTACTAACCCCTGCAATTACAAAGTCCACACACACAAGCTCACCAGGAAAGGAGTATCTCTGTGAGGGGACAGAGTGCTTGCTTTTCTCAACACAACACACACCATAAATCACAACAGCATCCACTCACATCATCTTCCTCAAACATTCACACACTGAAAACACAACCACAATTACACCACACAGGAAAAATTGCAGCAATAAACCAGGATTTGCTCAATTCACCCCTAGAATTGCTAGCAGGTCCTTATTGACACAGCAAATCCTTTCTGCCGGCAGCCAGACCCAAACCCAAACTGTACAGGCGTACGTTGTGCACAGGACATCTCTGTGTGACTTATGAACCACCCTTCCCCTGCGTACACCTTACAGGTTACTTTATACAGAGTTAAACATTCCCTTTCTCCACAGTCCCAGCAGTCTTGTCTGTCCCCCACGAGGAACAGCCGAGAGAGGAGGTGCCTCCAGGAAAGGAATGTCCTGGCAGCGCCCAGAGACATCCACAGCACGGTTATTCTCGCTGGAGCAGAGAAGTGTTCCTGCCACGGTCACCAAATGAAGTGTGGAATAGAACTCACCACATTTAAAGTTAGAAGGTGGTGTGTTTATTACAGCAACAGGCACACGAGGAGTTGTCTCCTAAAGACGTGTGAAGAATCGCTGTCTCTCTGCTTTTCTAAAATGTCTTACATATCCATATAATTCCCAAAAAAACTAACACACATTCATTAGGTAACACTGCCTACCCCCCTTTGTATTAAAATGTATTATAATTGAGTCCAAAGTTCCTTTGCTTTCTGCAGTCTTTCACTTCAAATGGGTTGGTGGGTTTTAAAGTGGGGAATGGTCTCCTTCTGATGAAGACCAAGACGTCTTCCTCAATTTGACCTCTTTACTTATGACCTGTTGGCAGGCTTTCGCACCCCTTGGCTATAGCTGAAGTTTCGGGGCCCAGGTACAGGCTACCTGTCCAGGTGCAGGTCCTCTTCTTTGTCACAAAGAAATCTGCATCCCATCCTGCTTCTTTAAACATAGTAAAGACAGGCAAGTGATATATTACCCTTGCCTTAACTACGTTACCTGCAAAACATTAATTATCCCCTTTTGTTTCTACTCTTCTTGCTATATTCTTTCCCCCTAACTAAATCTTGCTAAAATTTTAACTCTCCCAGTTCTTTTAAATCCTTGATTCATTGGCCTCATCTCAACCGCCAGCCATGTGTGAGCCAATGCAGTAACTGGGAAATTCCACTCCTGAGCAGGAGATACAAGGCCTGGTTCTGAGCTGGAAGGGTGAGAAGGATGAGATGCACAGCGTTTTCATCCAGGGGATGTCCTGAAAGTGCACTGCCTACCTGCCCCTGCTGCAGACAACCACGCTCCACCTCCTTCTACTGCTCAGTGTTTTTTGAGGAATCCAGGGGTTGGTATGTATTATTTGCTACTGCAACTAATAGAATGAATTTGCTTTGCAAGTCCTCTTTTGTCCTGGGTTATTTTGTGCAGGGGTCTTCTTCTGAGCCTTGACAAAAACCAGA